CTATTGGAACCCATTGGAACGGCCACTGTAGAAATTCGATTACAACACTACTAATGGCAAAAAGTCATTGCGTTGTAACTTCTTTGAAACACGGTACGGTTTATTGTGAAACAGACTGCGAATTTCTGTCACTATACGAGACACGGCCACCACGCCCGAGAAACTAGTAAAGCTGTTGTTAGACTAAGAGATTTACTAACTAGTTCCCAAAGCACTCTTTCATGGTCCACCTAATGTCTAGATTTACCTTAGAAACTATCAACAGTACATGAATATGTTTTCAGTTGCCATTCATGCAAGTATCACCAAGTGATATACACATGATTCCCCTACTCCTACTAAGACATATCACTATCTTCTCATCTATCACAAGACTTTTGCTTTTTATTTCTAGCAGACAGATAAACTGAGAAGCCTGTAGATGCTGCTCTATTGCTGTCAGTTACGAGAAACTAAAAATAGCCAGTATGGTTGTTAGTTCCTTCTTGTTCATGTTTTGATAAATTTTTATTTTGACCAATTTAGTAACATTCGAATACCTTTCCCGCATATCGCCTTACTGACGATTTTCTAACAATATATTTTTTTAAATATTCTTTCGACAGCTGCCTGTCCTTTCAATCTCAAAACGGCCTAGTAAATGGCCTATATCATACAATTTATACCATTATTTAACTTAATAGCTGGGTGTTATGCTACAGGGATATATAACACTAGGTGTACAGAAAATAGAGCTTAGACAAAGAAATGTTTTAAAACATATACCAAATGTAACAGTCTAATATCTCAAAAAGAGGTGCGGGGGTGGTGTATCTGACGAACAATCATGATTGTGGGATGATAACCTCATTCCGTTCATTTCAGTGGGACAGAATATTTCGTTTGCTTACGACTCCTACCAACTAATCAACGATATTGATGTTACTTTACCATGTAGACTAGATCTTTGATTTACGTTTTTAAACTTGAGCTGTCTTCAAGAAATTCTGATACAAGCTGATCTGGGTAAATACGTTGTTAAGGAGTTCATTCGTGACTTCTTAAGCAATGGTGATGAAAAATAAGTAGCATATCACTAGCACATCAAGTCACTGGGCCTTCCTTGTTTTATACGTGGATCCAATTGGTATTAAACAATTTAGTTCTTTTGAATCTCCTTATTCCTACTATAATTTGCCAATTCATTGACTCACTAGTGATTTGTTTTCAGTAATTTACATAAATTCAGTTGTGCAGTAAGTGATCATATTCAGAAAAAGAAAGGTTTGAGAAATCAAACCTTTAATGTTTTATTTAAAATAATATCTTTTGAGTCATGACTCCGCTTTAATTACGAATATTATGAAAATCAATGAATGTCCTTAACATTTTACCCCCACTTGAGGAAACTGGCTATTCGTTATTCATTAAAACAAAGTATCATACTGGTGAATACCGTTCTTCTTTTACAAAAATAATTTTTGCACCATCGAGTTATTGACATATTGAATACTGTTTTATTCCTTCAAATGCTTAGTATATGGTTGCGCGCGGTGATGTCGGTTGAGCTAACCTATGGCTCTTCTAATCTGATTAGATTGGGGTCAATTTTGCATGCTCATAGCTTACTAAGTTAGCTTTAACTCGTTATTACATTGTGCAAAATATGACTGACATGAAAGATAATGTTAATGATGTAAGTTATGTACAGATTTCGTTATGCAGTAGAGATCTGCGGTCGATATGGACAAAGAAGATTTAATTCGACTGTTTGCTTATTTGCAAGGAGAGATAGAAGCTCGAGACATAGTTCTTGCTGCACTAAAGGTGAGTTATTCTTTCACTGGATTATCATCAGTCTGAGCACATAAATACAGCTAACCTAAGGGCAAAATATGGTGTTGTGGTAAACGACCAACAGGGTTTCGGGGACTTAAAGGATCCTTTTCAGGCATTGCAGAGGGATTCAGTAAGTTCAGTTCGTATAACCTTGATTTCTTAGCTGTGCTCACCTTTGTGTGATAATGAATCTGCTTTAAAGCCACTCTATGACAGCCAGTTATTACAATTGGAGAATCTCATATCATCTCAAAGATATGCTCAAAACAAAATGCGAGACCAGCTAGTCTTGATGGAGAAAAGATATATCAAGGTAAGGCAAATATTCACCCTTGTACTTATTTTACAGGCATGTGAAGAGCTAGAAGAGGAGCGTCGTAAACACGAAAGAGACGCTGCTCAAGGCGACGACGTCTTAGTTATGCTTGAAAAGGAACGTGAAAGACTTAAGTCAGAGGTAGTCTGTGATCATACATCTAAATGTTTAGGTTGAGTACGAAAAACTACAAAACAAGAAACTTACTCGTGACTTGAGACGTGTAATTCTCAGTTGGAGGGAACTAAATCTGTTGTGTAATAAGCAGAAAGTTGCTGCCGTTACTCTCATAAAAGAGCGTAAACGTCTCTCTAATGAACTGGCTAATGAGCAAAGACGTGTGGCTGAGCTAGAGCAATCGTTGCAATCGAATAGCCTGCATCCAAAATCACTGAGTCCAGATTGTAACACTACTGATAACAAGATAGCTGGGACATTTGGTTCAGATAATGATATATGCTGTAGTCATCAGTGCGAGTTATTACGACAAAAGCTGATGGAGGAAACGGAAAATCGTAAGGCGATCGAGAGTAGTTTCGAAAGGTAATTTAACAAGTTATTTTATGAGTTTGTGATACTTTATGCATAATGATCATGCTTGATTTCCAAATTATACACTTTAAAGTTCATGACCGATGTGCTATTTGATGTCAGTTTAGTTTTGAAACCCCGTTGCTTGTTTTACGCATAGCCAACATGACAGTTATGTTCTTAGAGGAGAGAGTGCGTGAACTTTAATTTTGAAAACTTTTTTCTCACCTCATACATATTTTCTTTTCCTAAGATTTAAAAACTAAGTATTGCATTTCAGTAGTTGGTTAGATCGGAAAGATACAAATGGGCAAATTAAAAGTCCATTAGTATTGCAGTAACTATTGCACTTGAACTCACGGGGTTCTGTCTATCCCAGAAGTTTTCTGTTTAGGGATAATGTCAGTTGCACAGGCGTTCATCAGTCCCAGTTGTCGCACCTCTTAACACAGCAAGGCAAAGTTTAAGATAATTGAGTTGTTCAGATGTGGTAGTAATATCTATGTTAGTTATTAAAATAACAAGAAATGTAACTTGAGGAAATTGATTCGCAATATTGAAAGCACACATTCTTGTAGAGACTGTATCTCTTGTAGGAAGTTGGCAATAAATACCGTTATCATTGCAATTTTGAACCATATCACTTAAATTCTCCATTCATTGATCCCAAATGTTGCATGGATCTAAACTATATGATCCTCATCTTTTTAACTGGCTTGAACCAACATACAGTGACCTATAATCAGTACCACTGCTCTTCTGTTCTCCTTACTACATTGTCCCACGATCCCAAGCAATGCTTCTATGATACTCGTAGCTTAATACTAGTGACTTACTTTCCACATTCTGCCCAGTACAATTACTAAACTAGATATATTAGTAACGCTCCTACCCCGTAAGGGTTGAATGACTCTCTTTCATCCTTGTTAATATTTCGTCAGTCATCAACCTACCGGCGCTGAAAATACTTTTACGATAATTGGTAGTCATCACTTCAAAATGTTTGAGAACGCTTAAATAATTGGCTTCACAATAAAACATGTTCATTGTCAGTAGTGAATCCTAATGTTGTTCAAAGGTATCAAAAAAAATTTTTAGCATGGTAAGGTATTTTGTTAGTTAAAAACATTAAAACCACTCATAGGTAAATGAAATCTAGTAACAACACTTCTTATATGTCAGCCGACAATTATTTTTTTGTCTTGCCCATTCGTTATCTATCTGGGCAAGACCATTAAAATACTCATTTACCTAAGTGATTTTTGTATATTTGCTTATTAGTCGTATTAAAAGTACATCCATTTAGTTATGGTATTGTTTGGTCAGTTCTTAGCAAAAGTTCTGACGTAGTTTGCAGCAAAAAAATGTGATTCTCGTCGAAAAGTTCAAGCTTAACCAATCCCTACTTTACTTCATATCATATGAGACTATTTATTTATGTCTGTGAATACAAACTGTTGTTTTTCTAAGTTCTCAAGCGCTGACACGCTTCACTTTAATACCTGAATAAATTCTAGATTAGGATAAATGAACGCTTCCTCCTAAAGTAATTTCTTTCACCCTAACCTATCGTTTTGGTCATGTTGCAAGGAGTTTTATACTTGCTCTCAGGATGCTATCCATGTGGTTTCAGTAATATATATCAGCCCGACTCATCACAAGCTTAGCTCGGCTAAAATGTCAAATATACACTTTATCGCTAGCGTATTTCTACTGCTTAGTTTGACCTCATGGGTGCGCAATCATACGGTATTCCGTTTTCTATTTCCACAACATCAATAGTCAGTCAGTCAGTTACAACTTAGAACTTTGTACGTGCGTACCTCAGTTCAGGTTACCATAACACATTAGCACAGAGACGCAACTGTCAATTCAAGTCCCATAGTAGTAGAAGTATTAGTGGTAATGGAGAAGATTAGGGTTCGAAGCTAGTATTCAAAAAGTACACCAAGTAAAGAATCCCAAAGACAGTTCGCCATAAGCTCTCACTTGACCAGTGGTGTTCGAGTAGAGAGCTTGTATAAAGTTAATGTACTTCTCTTGTACACCATTTAACGACAGACACTGCCACAGAGCCTCACGATCGACAGAGTTGAATGCCGCTTCAAGGTTGGGACATACTGCTATTGTGGGGCGTCTGAACGTGTCTTTGTTATCGGACTTGACGTGTGAATTCCAGTTCTATACATCCACGTCCAGGTCAAAAACAAGCCTGGTTTTTTCGAGTCTGCTCTTCACGAGCTCTAATTAAGCGTTAGAGTATTATGGAGGCCAATATTTTTGACACTACTAGTTAGACTGATTCCTCTGTGATTGTCATAAGAGGACTTATGTTCTTTCTTGTAAATTGGGACAATCAGGGATTAAAATCATTTAGATGGGATTACGCACAGTTCTCAAATTCTACCTAAGATACCGGTCAATCTAACTGTTAAAACTGGACCATCATCCTTAAAAATCTCAGGGGCAAGCCTATCAGGCCCTGCTGCTCCCATCGCTTCAGATTGCCTATCGCTTTCCCAACTTCATAAGGACTCGAAGGGCTTTTGTTGATTTACCATACAGGGCGACTGGAGATCGTGAGCAACCGTAGTGTGGCTAAAGGCTGGTTGAGCTGATCCCTGAAGTGTTCCGCCCATCTATCCAGTCTCCTGGATTGAGAATGGATAATAAGCCCATCCTTTTCTAAGTTTCGTTAAAGAAGGGATTTCTAATACCGACCACCTCACCAAGAGCTTGCCTATCTTGATGACCCAGCCAAGATATATTGGCTGAAACATATGTTCCTTTAGGTCCTATAATACTAGGCAGGTCGACTGCAGAACGATGAAACTAAAAGCAGCTACTCAAGGTCTGAGTGCAGGGGTGTGATAGCAGTAAGTTGTTTCCCTCGGACAACCAACATCTGAAGCGATTCTGCCTTCTCACAAGGAAGGAAGGGTTAGAAAAGGTCGACCCTAAATGTGTCACACCTTACCTCACCTCATGGATTTCCGTCTCCGGCCGTAAGGCCGTATGAAGAGGGGAGCTAACACACCATGAAAAGGTCGTGCGCAGTTGTCCCTTGTCATCGTTGTCGCACTCCCAGATCACTAAGACCAGCGCTAATCTAACTTTTTTCAGGTTCCTCAAGAAGCACCCACGGTGTGGGCAGCCGGGAGGTGACATCCACCCTCGCATCTGTAACAGCACACGAGACCGAATTGGTTACAATCAAATCCTTTCCACACTTCTTAATAACTCCCTAATCTCCACGGCTAACCTTTCTGATATTCCTTTATCACCTCACGCCGCTGATGCAAACGATTCAAGTACACGAGGCATTATTCCTGTTCTCTTGAAACCCCGTTCTAAACTACATGTTAAATCTTTGTCCAGATCTGGGACTGAGCAGAACAACAGGTTTCCTTAGTTAGGACTCTAGAATTTCATATAATCGATCTATGCTGTCTCCGAAACGCGCATACAGGACACGAGTACCGTCATTCGTTTGACCTCATCATGTCGAAATAAAGAACCGTCTCCATTTACATTTCGTGTATCTGGAATCCCCATTGCTGCTCCCCGTGGCCTCGCTGGTGTAGGTATAGCACTAATTCCCAAAGCAGATGTAGTTCTCTTAGACTGGATCCCAGTAGATGGTCGCTTATTCGATGTCAGACTAAACGGGACAGTAAGGAATCGGAAAATAGGGGCACTAGCCATTGCCTCTTCTTTGTCTCTGCCTACGCTCCCACTGATTGCATCTCAGTTCAAGTAAAAGATGAGTGTTACAGAAAGCTTTCAGACCTCATTCAAAAAGTAAGGCGCTCTGATATGGTAGTAGTGGCTGGTGACTTCAATGCTCAAGTAGGTAGACTAAGTGAAAAGGAAAGACATCTGGGTGGATCTTATGGTGTCGCAGTTCAAAGAACAGATAATGGCGACCGTCTGCTGCACCTATGCTTGAGTAACCGTCGATTTCTGGCAAATGCCAACTCTAAGCATGAGGAGAAACGTCTTTTACGAGGCAACCCCCAAACTCGACCCAACTAGACCACATCGCAATGAGCCACCGATATAAAGGCTGGAAAAAAGACTGCCGCTCATTCTGGCGCACATATTTAGATTCAGATCATGCTCTAGCACGACCGTGTACTTGTCTGCGTCTTGACGTAGGAAACCTCTTAGAGTCCGACCAGACGGTAGCAAAGCGGAGAGTATGCTTAGAATATCCCGACGATGGTGACATAGTTCTATTCGGTGAAGACGCTGACAAAATGCAGTCTTCTGACTACCCTAAGCAACATTGCAAGCATGTTCAGGATGCGGTTCTCCCCCTCGAAATGCAAAATGTTGCTTCAGGATTGGCTTGTATCGGCACCTGAACTAGGGATAAGTGAAGTAGTTGAGCGTGTCGACCGATTCACTTATCTCGGGAGTCTGATCAGTGCTGATGGCCTGGTGACTGTCGAAATCTCGGCACGGATACAGGAAGCTCGATCGACTTTTGCCAACCTGCGTCACCTATGGCGTAAGCGATATTTACGTTTGCTAACCAAAGGACAAGTCTACTGCTCAGCAGTTCGCTTCGTCCTACTCTATATGGATGCGAAACATGACCGATAAGAGTAGAGGACATTCATAGGTTATTAGTATTCGCTCATAAGTGTCTTCGAAGCATTGCTCGTATATCCTGGGACACTTGAGTAAGCAATGCTGTCGTTAAGAAACGAGTACTAGGCAGGGATGACAAACGGATAGATGAAGTATTGAAACTTCATCAGTTGAGGTGGTTAGGATATGTGTTACGAATGCCCAACCACCGACTGCCTAGACGAGCGATGTTCTGTGGTGTAGGAGTATGTTGGAAGAATGCTAGGGGCGACCAAACCAAACATCGCACAAATCCATGAAATCATTGACAACTGGACTGAGCCATTTTGGTAGGTGTAGACTACCTGGTTGGGGTCCGCGAGACGAAAGTCACCGATGGCTAGAGACCTTGAACAAAATTGCTTGAAATGGTTTGCGATTGCGCAGGTGCATCCACTTGTTTTGTTCCCTGAATCCGTCACCCTCTCTACCTTTCGCCTTCTAAACTTATCTCACTGAATTATACTTCTTGAATACTATCTTCGAACCCTAATCTTCTCCATTACCAGTAATACTTCTACTATCTCTACCACCATGGTATTGTAATTGACAATTACGTATCTGTGCTAATGTGGTATGGCGACATTATAAGCAGCGCTAAACAAGTAACGCATCAGGATACTATTAACAACGTTGCCTATTAGATACAATCATCTAACAGTATCAGTTTCAGTTATTTGAACATAATTTACGTTAATCACTAGCTGCGTTTACATCACCGGCTTTTAATCCTTATGTAAGAATTTATGTGGTCACTTTACTTAATGATAAACAGTTACTTAAGAATTTCGTTTAGTGAAACATCGGAAATCTCTGGGTAGTTTCACGAAGTACAACATCGTATATAAAATACCAAGTGAACGTTAGTAACATTGTTCTTTAGAAACAGTGATGTAAATGATTGGGAAATAAAATCCCATTGGACTATCACACTTAACATGTGATTACTTCACAAAGCTGTCATTACATGTTGTGTTAAACGTTTCTTAGTAATTTACCACTTCGAATTTTTAATATCATAGTACGGTTTTGGGTTTCGTTTTGTTTGTGTTCATATCCCTTGTCTTTAGGATTCACATAGACCTCTTGTGACATGGATTTTTTTTAGCGTTTCACGTTGTATGCTGCTGATATTAATTAATCAAATTTATGCAGTAACTCTTGCAGATCTCAGATGTTTCATCTCGCAATAGATGATTATTACTTCCATGTCACAATTAATTATTTCAAGAAAACGTCACTTTCTTTTTGATCATGACTAAGTTATTTCTTTTTGTCGGTTATTAGGGCAGCGGGAGTGCTTAAGAGAGATTTAAAGCTGTATTCCTAATAATTCGTACAGATTACCTAATTTATTAATATTTTTTTTGCTTATTCTCTCTGTTATATTTGTATTTCAGACTTAAAGCAGACTATCAAAGATTGGTATCTGAATCACACCCCAAGGATACCACAACCAGTCGCCCTTCAGAAGATTCAGTTGGTGTTAGTGTGTCATTGGTTAATGGTCCATGGACTTCTACTGAAAATCATGTCAATCCTGAGTTCGTGACTACCAATTCGTCAATCAAATTCAAACCAGATCCTCCTCAAAGACGATCATCTGACAGGCCTACTTCCGTGTCACCCACCTCTAATATAATCTCATCTGGATCGATTATAATCTCTAACAGTTCAAACCACTCCGGAGCTACTACTTCTGGCTCTTCTCGAACAGTTGTTGAACAGTGCTCACCTAGTTCTCCATCTGGGAATGTTTGTGAAAAATCAACCAGTCAATTGTCTGTTATCCCTCCATCAACTACATCCCCACCTTCCAGATCCTCTACACCGTCCCCACCTCCACCCCCACCCCCTATGCAGCTGCATTATCCTTATCCTGGGATGCAGGGACACTTGAACCATACTTCTAGGAGTCATAGTGGTCCTCCACCTTTTCTCCCAACTACAAATAATAATCGCCCTGTGCCGAGTTCAGTGTCTCATACAGCTGTTGTACAGACTTCTAAGTCTAGAAACTTAATTCCTCATCAATCAAGTCCTTACCAGCCATCATATTCATCTCCGAATCACACTATGGTCATCCCTGGCAGAACCGTCAATAGTTCCATTCATTCAGCACGTGGTGGTTCACGTAAACCTATGTCCGTAAATGTTCAACATACCAATTTCCACCACAATCCCCATTCATCTCCTCGCCCTGTTTCCCCTTTTATCCAACCTCAGTCAAAGCCTCCTTCGGTGGCTGTTCAATTCTCTCAGCATATTGGTTTAGCATCCAACAGTACTTCACACCCTCCTGTTGGTGGACATCATTTTCCTACTCATTCATCACATCGTTCTCATCCTTCCATTGCTAATCCTATACCATCAAATGTTCGACCACGAAATCCAATCCAGAATAATCAATCAGGTCTTACTGTCGCAGTATCAGTCATGGGAGGTGGACATGTATGTGTAAATGGAAAATAATCTAGAACTTTTTGTTTATATTCAGATGTATTTCCAGTGTTTTTCAAGAGGAACACGTTTTTAGTTCTGTGCTTTCTTTATTTCAATGACAAGGATAACAGTTACAATGTATATTTTTTATAAAACTAGTCAATACGTGTACAGCTGCATACATACTATTCATATAATCTAACTGTCATTGTAAACAAAGTAATGTGGTTTTCAAAGTCTAGTCACAGGTCTATTAAGTTTTACATTTAACCATCAATTTTGGACGGAAAATAAGCGAACAATTTTTTTTATAAATATTCTGAAGTAATGTGCAATTTAACATTTTTAGTTTTTCATTAATTATTAAAGTGTACAGGTACTGCTGATACAATTACTAATGATTTACCTAATTTTACTTCCATTTTCATCATCTTTTGTTTATTGAATGAATGGATTACTAAGTGTTTGTATTTATTTCGCAAAATCTTGTGATCCCTTATTTTGCTTTTGTATTTCTAGTTTAGTTTTTAGATAATTTAATTCCTTTCGAGGGAATTCTCACTAATGGATTTATTCAACAGCAAAATGATATGCATTTTACTATGTCGGTGAAACAGAAATAATTATTAACATCTTTTGGGTATTTTATGTTCACCATAGTTTATCTTTGTATCCCTGTGCTTTGTTCAGTAGCTTTTCAATAAAACAATGCGGTGCGTTGTTTATTAATAATATCAGAATTTATTTATGAACATATGTTAAATTACGTATAGTTTATAATCAATTGACTTTGAATAACTTTTTTATTTACAACTAAACATTCATGAACAGAGTTGTGTGCAAAATTAGAAATATGACCATTCCTAGGGCTCGTGAAATTTCACACTTACACTTCACTTGTTCATATAATTTTCCTTGACTGATAACACTTGGTGTTTTATTGGAAAAATGATTTGTTAGATTTTTAACAGTTCTTGTCAGGAACTTTAATTTGTCATATGGGTAAATATACTCAGCTAATTACTGAAATTCCGCTTTTTATTTGCATTGTTACATATACTTGTTAACAATCGACCAAATAACTACCAACTATTTGCTATAAACATTCTCCAATAAGTTATTTAAGGTTGGTAAACTTGTTTACAAATCTGCAAGATTATCCATCAGCATGTATAAATACACCAGTTAAATAAAAAAAAACACGAACGTTCATTATTCTTCGAAATTATTTATTCCAGAACCGTTGCTTATGTTGTTACCGCTGACAGAGCATAGGTCGCCTACCAGCATTCCCCATCCAACTCTGTCCTGGGCCTTCCTTTCTAGATCTACTCAATTGCAATTCATTTGTTTCATATCTGTTTCCAATTATCGGCGCAATGTGTTCCTTGGTCTATCTCTTTTCATCCAGATTTGAGGGTTCCAAGTTAGGGCTTGACTTCTGATGTAGATAGGTGGTTTCCTATCCACCTCCAGTGATTTTCCCCAACATCTTACTTAGCCGGAATCTAGTTTATCCTCTCCCACAGTAGGTTGTTGCTGATGGTGTCTGGCCAACGGATCCTCAGTATTTTGTGTGGAAAACTGTTAATAAACACCTCAATCTTTTGCATAGTGGCTTTTGTAGTTTGCCAAGTTCCGCTCTTTACAATAGAACTATCTTGGTGATTGTGTTGGAAATTGGGGCTTGGTTGCTGGTTGATAGTTGTTGTGTGTTCCAGTTCTTTATTCGTAGAAATGCTACCCTTGCTTTACCGACCCGTGTATTATCTTCTGCTATATCATTCATAAAGTCCAAATCGTTCTGCTGCGTCTGAGATCTCCACTGTATTCCGTGCTTCTCCTCAGATGTTGGTATCTTCACAGTCCAATCGAAAATCAGAATAAAGAAAAAAGGTGAGAGTAAGTAATTTTTGTCTGACACCGGTCTTCAATTGAAATGAGTCTGTGAGATTCCCTCCATGCACGGTTTTGCAGTGTAGCCCACCGTAGAAACTCCGTATGACTGACTGTTTTCTAAGGTACACCATAGTGTCAAATAAGCCTCCAAAGTGCTATCATATATACTGTGTCAAATGCTTTCTCGTAGTCAATGAAGTCGATGTACAGTGGTGAGTCCTATTTAATTGATTGTTCCACAATGATCCGTAACGTCTTGATTTGTTCAGTACGCGATCGATCCTTACGCAGTCCAGCCTGTTGATGTGGAAGTTGGTTGTCTACTGAATCTTTCATTCGGTTCAACAACATTCTGTTGAGAATGTTTCCTGATATTGAGAGCAGAACGTTATATATGTAGTTCTCACACTTGCTGAGATGTTTCATTTTTTATCTTCACGAGGTATCCTTCCTTCCAGTCTGTTAGTACTTGTTCCCACTCCCAAATCTTGCTGAAGAGAGTGTGAAGCATTTTCTCAGTTACTTCTACGTCCGCTTTCAATGCATCAGTAGGCATGTTGATTAATTCTGCTGCTTTACCGCCCTTGATATGTTTGATGACCGCGCTGATTTCTTCGATTGTTGTTCGGTGAACATCGATTGGTAGCTCCGTGATGCTGCTTCGATAATGGGTGGGTTCAGTGTAGCTGGTCGATTCAATGAGTTTTTATTGAGCAAAGGATACATCCTCCACTTAGTTACACAAATGTTAGGAGTTTGGCGTTCAGATTATTGTATTGTGATTGTTCCTGAGTCTGTTGGGTAGTCATTTTATTGTCGTTGATCTAGTTCGAACTGCATGACCTGCATTTTATTTCGTTGGAGTAGTGTAGTAAGCCGATGGAAGAGTGATAAATTCCCTACTGGCATGAAGCATTGCAGAGTATATAAATCTGATCTAGTTAGATATGTTAAGATTTGCCGCTTATTGTTTTGTTCCAAATCATCGTTTGCAGTCCTAGGAATTCCAGGTACTAATAGTGTCTTCAATTGTTACGCATTTGTCTTGTCACGCTTGGACTTGATATCACTTCTATGGACCTCTCAGGATTGTAGGTTAATCTGAGAATGAAATCTTGATCACTTCTCATTACTTAAAGCATTCATAATTTACCTCTAATGAACTGACCATATAGATGTAGGGGATCTCAAGTCTACTTCATGGGTGCCAACAGTTTAAAAAACTAGCAGTTTCATCCAGATAATGATGGTAAAATCACTATCTAATTTAAATAAATTTTAGAGGTAATTCATACATATTTATTGGAACCCCGTTACGCTGTCTGCTTAGAACTTGTTGCTGTTTATAACAATCATTGCTAGTCACTACCGTTTTCGTTTCTGAGTCTAGGAGAATCAACAATCTAGTGCTGGTAACCTTACAAATATTTTTAAGCATTATTTCTATTTATTGCTTGTTTGAAAATCCCTAACTTGCATTTTATTTTTGTGCAAATGAATTACAGAATAAGTGACTGGTTTGTTGATGTCATAAGAAAAATTTAATGATACCGATGTTGTCAGTAAATGATTGTTGTTTATAGATTTCTCATATTTTATTCCCAGCTTACAATGAGTTTGATTTTCACTTTCAACCTACTTATGTATTTTTTCCTTAATTTATAAACACAGTAAAAAACATTTGAAAATTCTCACTTTTGATATTCACTTATTTTACGCGGAACTATCTCATTTTAACTGAGTTTGTTCTACAGCTATCAGATTTACTGTGTTAATCTTTGCTTGACTATCTGTAATTATTATGACTGTAAAGCAGTAATGCAGAAAGATTTGTCTCCAGTTTTGTACAAGATCATTTTTAGCATTGATACTGGTTAGTTGTGTCAATATGCTGATGACCTTGTTTACATAACTGATATACGGATACATTGATCAGTTTTGGCTTGCAAATACTAGCTTCTTATTGGTCGTTGAAAATAAATGACTTTATATATATATATATATATATATATATATATATATATATATATATATATATATTCATGTGGGCCACACAATTCGGATGACATTTTAAATATGTACAGTGATGGAATTAAAAAGATGAGTTGATAGTTATGTAACTAGTAAACGCTTGTTAAGTTGCTGCATAAGTCAAAAATATTCTTAAAAGATCTTTTTTTTAAATATCAATTGGCAAAATTCATGAAAATACGTAATCTCTATGTGCAATAACTACACTTTTTTTCATTACAGATAACTATGAACTAAAATTTTTCTTAAAGTTATTTCAATCAAAACATCAGAAAGTACTTGACAACTGTGATAAAGTCCTAGTTTGGCTATTTTTAGTAATCTGATCATCCTACTCTTTTAATGTTCGAATTTTGCATCAGAGGTTACTTAACATTTATTATTTCAGATTCAAAAGAATTATTACTAATTAATACATTCACTTCATTGTTACAGCTATTCGCATTTAAAATCGTAAAAGTTTTATGAAACCTTGATCGATAAGAATTCATCTTCCTATATGGTTAAGACTATTAGCCAAAAACTTTTTGAACTGATAACATCTTTTGGTTTGATCATTATTACTTTTATTTTAGCTGGTTAGTGTATAAACGTCATTCGAAAAAGCTTTACAATCGCATCACTTTACCAAGTGAATTCAAATATCTTTTTACATTTTATGAAAGAAATATTCACTCACTCAAAGTGAGTACAATTTTGAAGATTTTTATAGTTGAATTTTTCTTAACCTATACATACTTTTAGTATAAGATGTTATCACCTGTTTGAATAAACACCTGAAATGCCTCTTTCCTTGATATACCTCATTTAAATGCTTTATCGATTAAGTTCAAGCAAATATGTATGCCTGTTTGAAAATCTTACCACCTCTCTACATTTTGCTATCCATCACACCTCTCTATCATTGTATATATCTGTGAAAGTCTACGCTAAGACACAATGTCATTGTAAAATGTGTTTATCCTGAGAATCCCATATGCTAAACATATCATATTGAATAAAGCCATTATAGTTCATATTATTATTCCATTTAACGTAAGATTTTAGTGCTTTTGGACTTACCGTTGATCAGTTAAACGTTGCATTCTTGGTAACTTCTCAAATAACCTGTACTTCAGTTATTATTACAAGTGGAAAAAATACACTGGTATGACCGCTTGTTAAAACTATGGTCACAAGTGGCTTTTTACTGCTTTATAACTGAACATAAAAATTGATATGATACATTGCGAGAAATGTATTCGTAACGATAGATGAAGATTTTATTATACATTTATAAATCCACCACTGATCAACTACTACATCGAACTAGATAGTAGTTGACATTAGTATGTATATATCTACACAATTTACAATATCAATAATTGAACTAACTTAACTAACAGGTAAGACTGAATTATTTTCTCCTTCCTCACAGTCACTGTAGCCTGATTTTTTTTTGATAACAATGACAACCACATGAAAGTAATAGTCATATTAAGGACTGTAAGTTATGTTATTTAGAATACTGATTTAGATTTCATAGATACAATCAATGATGTAATAAGACCTGTCTCGTCAATATTATCGTTATAGTTACTGAAAACTTCACAATATACTTAAGGAGAAACCAGATTTTGAAGTATAACAGTCAATTTATTGTAATTTATTAGTGATATATGCAACTAGTGTTCACTTTGTGATTTACACTTTGTACATTCATTTTGGACAAAACCAACTTACATGTCGGATATATTTCTAAACGAATTATCCTATATTCAATGTTCTCATACATTTTGTGATAAATATGAATAAGGAAGATAAAGAGTTTCAAACAATTAAGCATGATTCAAATGATAAATATCATAAATATTTGAAAAAAAAAAGAAATATCAACTGTTTATTAAGCAGAATATTTAAAATAATTTTTTGTAATGATAGTTCTTAACAAGGAAAGTATAAAATTTTGTATTTAATTTACACACATTATTACATATCAATGAAACAATTTGTTGTTTAACTGATTTGTTTGTAATCTTAAAAGTTCATTTGTAATCGTGGTTAGTTTATATAACTTGATAATGACTTCATAGACTATTAAATAAACTAAGGTGAATTAA